TACATTAGCTCTTCTCAAACTATAATCTGTTTATTATTCCATGACTGGATCTTTTTTTAAAAGCTTGTTCAACTATTACAAGTAACTAGCTTGTGGTATTATAAATATCACAGTAGAAGAATAATGAGATCTTTTCACCGAGAAAGAACCTCGCTACTTCTTCTGACTTTGCCTTCCTTGAAGTACTTTTAAGTCTTTCTGCACTCCTTTCTTTCTAAAATGCTTGAARATTATTTTGTTTTCTTTGTAGATTGTTATAAAATGAAATGAGAGTCGATGGCTCACCCGTTTTGTTTTCTTGCTTAATGAGATAAATTGATATAATTTGTTTGTTATAATGCTTCAAGTTCATTTTGAATGAAAGAGCATTTTTTCACCTTCGGCCATTTTTGCCAGCCGCGCGCGATATGTGAGAGAAACCATTTCAGTGTTATGAACGTCGGTTTCTGATTGGTTGACTACTATTTTTCTATGCTATGATTGGTTAACTTTTTACATGTGAGAATTGCTAGTACGCGCATCTGATTAGACGTAGCACTAATTCTCACACACCGAATTATATTTCTGCCCTTTATTCCATACTAAGTATAACTGACTCTATGACTAATGCTAGTCCTTCACTATTGGATCGATAGGCATGGTACAGCTGGTAAATCAATTAAGTATCAATTTTGTTTGCTTGTTTTAAAATCTTCACTTTGATGTAAGTTAACTTTACGTATAAATCAATGTTTTCAGATTCATTTTCCCCCCCAAAAATGTCATAATAAATACTTACTCTTTTAGGCGGTGGCGTCGGAGGTAGAGGTTCTGAGACGAAATAAAACGAGCTTATGTGTTAGCCTCAAAATCAAGTGAATATTATTTTTTTGTTTTATTGATAGCCCGAGAAAACTCATGACAAAAATTCTCACAATTAGGAATGTTTTTGCGCACAGATGAGGCATTGGAAWATTMGAAACTGGATTATGTGGCGGTCAGAAGATGTAATCCAGAAYGTCCAGAKCAATGAAAGTCATGCCTTTAGGCGCATAACCAACGACACATTATTCAATGCATGGATTTGAGTGAATCAAACACATTAGTAGCTGTCATATTAACGAATTTAGGTCATGCCCCACGCAAAATACTACAATGATTGAAGCTAAAGATATACGGACTTTGGCCCTTGGGTACCAATGATACATTTTTTAGTGTATCTTCTTGATTGATGCCATTCCTGTTCATGTCGCTTATGTCGCATGTTAGCTTTTTTTATGAATACCATGAAACCCTATGGTTTTCACATAACCTATATCATATAATAATGTCGCCCATTATAAAATACACTTTCAGAGCTGTCGTATCTTTTGTGTGGGTGTGGGTGGCTTTTTTTACTATATTTTTTAATGGTTTGGTATCATTGGCTGATTCCTGTATTATTGTAAAGATGGCGCAAATTGAAAAAGAGAGGATTATTTGGATAACTTTCTAAAGTATCAACATACCGATACATTTCAATCCACATCCATCCGAGCAACATTTTAGAGAAATAGAGCACTGTTCGTCGTTTAAGCATTCATTGTCTGGAGTAGACGGGCACTCTTCAGGCGGAGGAAGCGTTGGGCATATACCAGGTCTTTCTGGAGAAAAAAATCACTTATAAGAAGTATATAGAGGATATTACACGGGCGAGCGGAGTCGGAGATACGGATTTTATCTTCGAGTGTTGAAAAGATCTCCCACGAGTGAGCGTAGCGATTTTCAACACGAGAAGATAAAATATTATCTCCAATCGACCATATAATATTCTGTTTATCATAATTACATATGAAAGCAAATTATGTCGTAAAATACTTTTTTATTTCTTTTGCTATATAGAGAAACCTCGAATGTGTTATTTTCAATAGTGAAATAATATCAACTTTACCCAATGGAGAAATATATGACTATTTCATAGACAATTATATGATAAAATAGATTATACATTTTGTCTGTACATACATTTATACATATTTCATTAAAAATATCATGGGATTTCTGTTCATATCATAGGTCAGTTCCCCAGCTCGAACTGGCTAKCTTTGCGCGTCTGGCCCGGAACTTTCAATAAATCAACATCCTTTACAGTACCAGTTGSGAAGACTGGGACGTAGTGAATTCTAGGAAATCTCACGCAAAAGGCGAAAAGAAGTTTTAATGTATATTTGCGATGTACTCTCACATTTAAAAGACCCGATTACATGTCCCTCTTTTCCCTCGATAACAAAAAATTACAAATACTACAAGGATGCTGTCAATCCGATCTCTCGTATCCTAATATTAGCAACTCTATATGTTATCACAGTTCATCGCGTTTATCAACGTAAGACATGCACTAAAAAAATGAAGTCAAATTAAAATCCAATCAACAAACATTTCATTGGGAAAACCAATCCTCAAGTCACATTAAACATGAATTTGTACACTAATGTAGTCAATRATTTGAACTTTGAGTGACGGAATATGAAATATGCAAACTGTACTGAACGTACGCTTTTCAAATGAAGAGCAGATCAACTTGATTGAGTGCACGTGACATCGATAACATTCATAACGCCTGCTCATCCACCACAAATCATCAACAGGTCATTTGGAATGACAGGTCACGTTGCTATAAATCTGCGCTGAGATAATGATACAGTCCTCAACAGACAATGATAAAGATTAGTTGGTGGTGAAGTAGTTTCAGTCTTCCGATCCGTGCAAAAATAACCTATAGATACTGTCACACTTGGCGCAAGTTTTGAAAGAGTTTACAGTGTTTCTTTTATGACTGAACGATCATGCAGTAATCTGATTGGCTACTAGAGTATAGAAACCAGGCGATTTGYTTCAAGTTCATCATTTGTTAATTATTTTTGAACAATCAGAATGCAGAGCGGATGCCAAGGAGGTTTTTCGAATGAAAGGTGACGGATGTACCTTGCCACCCATGTACACCTTAAGAATGAGTTCCCACCAAGTGGTGATAGTTGCAGGCAATGCGCAGTCGTGGGATGGATTTTGAAAATACAATTAGTCCTGATCTACACGGGCGGGTCGTGTTTCTCCGACACTACTCTGCAATTTGACTTTATTGCATTGATACCACTAAAGGCCCGTTTTTTTATACTTGCTATTTTTGCAGTGCGATTGTCGCGCSACAAATCGCCACTTTGTTCTCGCGCACCTCAAATCGTAAGTGTACTAGTAAACAGCACTGCGATTGTCCCGGCGATCGAAAATCGCCGCGAGTTGCAGTTAAATTTCAAGCATGTTCGAAACTCAGGCGATTGTTGCGCGACAATCGCGCTACAAAAATCGCAAGTGTAAACGGGCTTTAACAGCTATACCCCCGCTCCCTTTTTCAGGGGGATGTAATGTAATGCCCTCTTAAATATCTGATGAGCCACAATGCAGGCATCACTCTACCGKGTTAGATCAACTCTTCCTAGACTACTGAGGTGTTATGATTCCTATTCTCTTTAGTTGATTGATGCTGTAAACCCGGCTGAACTTGTGATGATCAATATCAAATTCGATTCCCCGGCCTGCACAGCTGGCTTTCTCATGCCCTGCATTATAGTAACCWGTGCGGTACACCATGGCATGTCAATATTTATCACTAACAAATGGATCATGATTAAAATGAGAAATCATGCAGAGATACTCTTAAAACGGAATCATTTCCTTACAAAAATCAGTGTATTCAACTAAGGTTTTATGAAAATTTCAATATCCCATTCAGTTATTTTCTGTCCATTTTCTGTCCATCCATTGCGCTCAGGATTTCAAAAACACCAATGTAGGAATAGTTTTGAAATTAGATGTAGGGAGCAGAAGTATTACATGTTTATATTTGAATCTCTGGATATTCTCGCGACTTATTCCGTTCCCAAAATATGTGGTAATATTAGTAAACTAATCTGTGGGAAAATTAGTAAACTTTCAACATTTTACTTTCAATCACAATGATTTATTATGAGACGATCTCTGTAGCGACGATTATGATCAATAATAAATAATAATGAAAAATATGGATAATAATAATGATTGATACTCATTGTCAACAATGTCTAGTTTAGAAAACTAAGAAATTGAGGATGTTTGTCGCTTAGTAATGCCGATATGGCGATGATGACATCATATCAACTATGAGAAGTAATGCAAGCAAGACCCGGAAATGTGTCTAGAGACCAGTACTATTAAAAACCGCTTTAGGTAATCTGCTATAAATTGAATAAATACATCTTGTCTGAGAAAAAAAAAGGGGCCYGAGAAAAAAAAGGGGGAAAACGTATTTAGTACTGCATGACAKAACGTGGCACATAAAATAGCTAATGACGTAGAACGTGCATTTAAAAATCAATGTTACAGATGTGCAGATAATAACCTTCACGGCTGGAAAATTAATCAATTACTCGGTTGCGTTTTGCTTTCATATCATATGACTAAATAGTTACATTCTTTTTAAAACCCGAAAATATAATTATACAGTAGACATCAACTGATCAAACTGTGAATTTCACAAAAATTATCTCTATAGACATGAAGAATGCCATCGATACGTCTCCTACTGTTTGCTTAAGAGTAAATTAATCCAAGTATGTTGRATTATCATGCAATTTTAATACGAATTCCAATTGTGTAATGATTGTCAGTCATTTATACAATTAAATATGAATACAGAACAACAATGCATTGCCAAACCTATATAATACGTGATCTTATACGAGTTCATATCAACACCTTCGATGCTAACATTGCCTATATGAGCTGATAAACTACACTTTTAATTTTTAGTTGTTGTTTTATGAGACAACTGCTTAATTGAAGCTAAAGTGTAAGGATGAATAATTTCTCAAACTGGCAAGTTTGATCAKTGCATCTATTTGATAGAATCTTGTCTACATTCAGCCTAGTCTATTGCTSAGTGGATCTATTTGTCTGTACTTTAGATTACAAAGAACTGTTTTGGTGACTTAGATTGCCATACAAGCTATATTAGTAGYATAAAGAAGGTCTATGGACATCAGTCAAACTGCAGTGAAACTTCAATCCCTTGACCTTTTGTATGCAAAGTTGCAAATCTAAGAGAATACAGTTTTATTGATACTTACGCGCTTGAACTATCCCTGACATAAGAGTTCCCCATACCACAAGATGAATCACTGCTCTAGCTACTGCCATAATCTATGAGCAGAAGTCGAGAGCAAAGACTTATAAAATAAGGATCTCGTGAGGGCTGGAAGCCCCTTTATTGCCGAAATAGCCACTGCGACCTGTGTGTTGGCAAGTAAGGTATATCGCGTAACGCCACGCTTCTCAGACACCTCCACGCCGTCAGAATAGGGTCCCCATTCAACAAAGAGCCAGTGTGTAGCCGACATGTCATACTTGAGTGTAATTTGAGTTTTACCATGTCACAGAGTTTATGGTCTTGCCGTCTTGTCCAAATCCTTTAGAAAACCAATGTTTCCATATGTCGCGAGCATTTTTCAATTGCTTTCGATTTCTAACGTTGTTATAGGATCTGGGTTTTGTAGTTCTCCTTTTTTCTGGATTTTTGAGCTTCCTTACTGCATAGCGTTAATGATTAATTTTTTGTATATATTAGGAAAAAAAATCAAATTGCACGACTTAACAAGAGCGCTCTTCAAATATTTCCAGAAATCATTGTTCTAAAGTTTTCATGACCTTTCATTTCTTTCTGGTAGAGCAAAGTTGAGGGTATTCAGACGTTCATATATTTTAGTAATTACATTCTTGGGTTGCCTGTGTAGGTGCAAACACCACAGGAAACCCGTGATTGGACCCACGTGTTTCAACACGCAAGATGGCGGAAGATGGCTTGTTTKACCAAAGTTAACCAAATCTGGCATAATAACAACAACTTTCTCATCTTAAAATAGGCTGTGGCTGACCTCTAGAATTACCTGCTYCGCTATAGCGTACATGGTGCTGTATTTGCATATGCAAACTCTATAAGTCGCCATAAAATTTCTGAAATCAGACTCGTCATATGCTGAGCTCGTCGCCAACGTTAATATCATGCTGGAGGAAATCTCAACTTAAATCCCAGGTTTTTTCCTATGGATAAGCAAGACACCTCACTATCAGGTGCATTTAAAGTCTTCAAGATGGTTAGTTCACCAACAGATACGGTTTCTCGGTTCGTGTTAGGAGGATTGTCATGTATGACTGCCACTATCGGTGAGTTGTTGGTATTTTACTGCGAAGTGACCTTTGGAACTAAGACAGCATTGAATCTGAAATTTCATACTAAAATCATTTATATAATGTATAGTGTATGTATGTGATTTTTAAGAAGATTATACTTGGCAAACGCTTCGTCTTTCAACCTCATGTCGTGCCTGCATAAATTGAAATTTTGCAAACGTTTTTATCGGATGTTAAACAGAACATTAAAGTGTAARGTGTTGATTGGACTGCATTCATTGAGGTTAGGGTTATTTGCTATTTTTATTTTACTTTTGGGTTTGTTGTTTTTATATCTTTAGGGTAATTGAATGTCTTTGAGGGGGCAGAAAGTTTTTATGTTTATTAAAATGACTGGCTGTGATAAACATATGTAAACCTGCTTATTGTTATTGCTTCATCTTCATGATTAAAATGTTAGGCACATTACCAAACAGCTTTAAATATCTACAAATTGTGTTCATTATCTATCTCAGCTGTGTTAATCAATGATTTTCCGTTTGAGTGAACAGATATTGTCCTCATATTGTTATAATGATTAAAYCTTTACATTGTAAAACTAGTCTTTATTATTATAATAATAAAATAATGGCCTGTAGTCAGCATCGCCAACTCGCCTGAATAATCTGTCTCATGATTTTGGGACATGTCTTATAATTGCCATGAAAATCTTTTTTTTTTTTTGAGAAAAAAACTCTCAAATGGGACCTGATTTAAATATAAACAATTAATTAAATATTATCAATTAAATATCARTTGTGGTTACATTGGTCTCAAGATATTATATTTCCTTGGGTTGATAGCCCTGTGTAGTAGGGCTATCAAACCAAGGTAATTTGCTTATAACAGCATTTGTATTCCTTAAATCTTTCATAATTCAAACCTGTCTAATTTTTTCTCAAAAGATGCAATAGCTTTACTTGTAATTGTTTGCTTTTATGTTATTTGGGTGGGCTTTCMCCTTGGAAGATGTAATCCAATAAGAATGTTCAAAACAAATTAGAAAACAAAAGACAAAAAGTGTCATTATTCTTTGAAGAACAAGCCAATCAGATAATTTKTTCGGAGAGTTCCATTTCTTTAGCATTATTTCCTATTAATTTCTGTCTTTTATTGTACACAACAACCCTCACAGCCTGTCTCTGATAAARAAATGCAAAAAGAAGATATTGTAGGGAAGGAGCTCTTTAAAACTAGCAGTCAAACAATGATCAGAGCATTGACAGGGTTGGTTTTTGAAATACATGTATTACCCAAGTTATCATTCATTTTAAAATGGCAATAAAAAATGAAAGCAATGTTGTTTTGTTTTTGTTTTTTTGTTTTTTCAGTGACAAATCCCATTGAAGTAGTGAAAATTAGAATGCAGCTTGATAACCAATTATCATCCAGACACACTAGCAAGAATATATTCCATGATCGGTACTATAAAGGCCTTATAAGGGTCGGCCTGTCAAGAGTCTATCAAGAAGAAGGCTTCAGAGGACTGTACCTTGGGTGAGAACCATAATTATCTTATTTGTAAAGAACAAGAAATTTTCATGATGCCGAGACTTGACTTCACAAGCCCTATATGACTGTAACTTCTATTACAGTTGATATTAATGATCTAAATAAAAAAATATCATGATTTAACATTTGCAGGATTATGCCAGCCTTGTTACGACAAGCAATATACAGCTCWACACGATTTGGAGCGTATGAGCCAATCAAAGAGCTTCTTGGTGGAGAAGATATTTCCTCAACACCTTTATGGAAAAAGGTTTTAGCAGGAACAACTTCTGGTATTATCGGCAGCTCAATAGCCACACCAACTGACCTGGTAAAAATCCGCTTTCAGGCTGTTAAAATTGGTGATACTCCTCCATATAAGAACATGTTCCATGCCTTTTATCAAATTACATTAAAAGAGGGGTTTCTTGGACTCTGGACTGGTATTAAACCTACTGTCAAGAGAGCTGCTGTTTTAAGTGGAACTCAAATCCCAGCATATGACCATGCCAARCACATGATTATMAATGCTGGTTGGCTAAAAGAGGGAGTAGTTCTTCATGGTGTATCAGCAATCATTGCAGGGTTTGTTGCAACCTGCATAGCTTCTCCYTTTGACATTGTAAGGACACGTTACATGACCCAGCCTAAGAATGCCTTAGGAAAACCAACTGTTTATACGAGTACATTGGATTGTATTCTGAAAACTGTGAGACATGAGGGAGCCTTAGCCCTGTACAAGGGTTTCTTTCCAAATTGGACAAGAACAGGGCTTGATACCATAGTTATTTTTCTTGTCTATGAAAGGCTACGGAAAATATTTGGCATTGATCCTATTTAGGGTTGAAAATGCTGTTTGTATATTGTATTWTGTAAGTACAGGCAATTGCAAAAATTCTGCATTCTAACATACACTTATTTCAAAGATGTTGTTAAGGAAAATGGCTAAGAAAGGGAAATGATGATTGTCGAATAGAGATTACAYAACCAAACAGGTCTATGATTACCCTGTTTGACATACCAGATATGACTGGTTGGGCTCACCTTGCTTGAAAATAGAGACTAAAATTTAGCCAATGTTTAGCTCAGATTGTCTTACAGTATGAATCAGTTATTATTTTCAGTCATGCAATCTCCATTTGACAATGACATTTTATCCAACAACTGTTTTTGTTTAATATAGGTAATGTGATTTTTGCTCTACTCGTTAGAAAATAAGGCTTGTAGATAAAGCAGAGTCTTTGCAACTATGCTTATTCAGGGTCATTCAAACATGTTTTGAAGTTTAATGACAAATGAAATAGCAGCTACSCTATATGTTGATATATTTGACTATGCCATTAGTAAATATTATAGTGTCTTTATTATATTCCTCTGTAGAGGAGTTCTATGTGATGAAAATATCCCACAATTTAAGGGATTTCTGGCTCTGTATACCACGTTTACAAAACTTAAAGTCTAACTGTAGTTATATAAACAGAATGTCTGTAGTTAATATTATTATTTTAATTATTATTATATTAAAATAAAACTATTCTGTTTAAAAAAAATATTAATTCATATTTTTTCTTGGTTATGTATCCTCTGTGTTGCTAAAGTTATACTGYTTGTACACGTATTTTGGTGGTCATGACTTTGTTTTACATTCATCATGTTATGTCTTTCTTCTTTTCGTTTTTTTTCTTTTTTTATTTGCACAAATATTCAACTTGAACTTGTAAAATTTCATGGTAATGAAATACTATATAATAGATGAAATTCCTCTTATTTTAGAGTTTTCAATTAAAATTTCTTCATTGTAATTCCTCAGTTCCTGTCTTATTTGGTTTGACACAAGATACCGTTCGATTCACTTTCGCACAAAGCTGTGCATGCGACGAAGAAAGGTTTTAATTTTTTTTATTTTATCTCAGTGTCATGTTTCTGTACTTAGGCACCCGCGAATTAAAAGCCATCTTGATTGGAAAATTTGATATTTGGCAATGGATTTTTTTTAATGTCTTTAGTATACGACATAAAATGAAAGGATAAAAGACACGAAATTGCTGATCTGTTAATGAGTTGGTGTCTGTAATGAGCATACCACACAAGCTCAATTAGATATAGCTTCTCAGCGGGAAAATTGGATAAAATAAAGCCAAATTCTATTTAAACAGCTATCGCAGGTGGGTTTTTTCGTCACGTTTGTATCGAGTGGTACGTGGTTAGAATCTAAATTATCAAACTGAACGGAAAGTTCAAGGGGAAAGATGCTARAGTGATTTTCAAAAACCCGTGAACAAAGTGTGGTCAAAGTAGAGTCGGGACGTCTTATTAATCCGTGAATTCAAGTGGTTTTCGACGGGCGATGTAAAACCAAGCCCAATCAAGTGCAAACCCTAAAACTCAGTACAAACGAATTTAGCGTGCGGACTCTATGAATATACAAAGTTGATATAATGATGTATAAATTAACATATAAAATGATGTTTAATCATTTGTGTTTGTTTGTATTCAAGAGCCAGATGGTGCTGCGCCGTCTCCCGCGCAAATTTTCGGCGGGAAAACACAACTTCCGCTCATGCGATTACAAATCATGCTGTATTAAAGAATTTAACCATTTAGCCATCCATTTGTGATATAAATCACCCTAAAAGCATTACCTTAAGTCTAATTTAATCATAAAAAATTGGTTTACATGGAATATCTTATATAATAATGCCCAGAAAGKTTTCGAGGCGCCTTATCTATCACGTCGTGGTGTAACATTCAACACGATTTCTTCCATTTGATCCATCTCCACAGGACTTTCACTAATTGTCTCCGGATTCGTCATAATAAGTCTTGCTTTTTTTACTACATTCTTTTTTTCTTTAGGTCGACTTAAGGTTATTTCATTTGAACTTTGAGCAATGGGTGTTGTTAACATTCCCGGCAGTCTAAAATCTGCGGTCCAGGAAAACGCGCGCATTCTAGACGGRATTCTTTTATGCTGTGTACTGTCCGCGATGTTTCCCACCAGTATTGGGGTAGGAGAAATTGCAGCAGATCCAACGGAAGACGAATTTCGTCTTTTTGTTGGTAAAGTGGGGAGAGAAAAAGCTCTTTTACCGCGATTTGGAACTGCAAAGTTCACATTATGCGACATTGTCACAGATCTTTCGCGCATTAATTCACGAAAAGTAGATGCTCGTATACAATAAAATACAGGATTCAAGCAACAATTGATGTAGCCAAACCAGTATGCAATTCGTCCCAATGCTTCTGGAAGATTTCCTGGATCTTTAAGTATAATTGCAAGTACAATTAACAAAAAGAAAGGCGACCAGCAGGCAACGAATGTTCCAAACATCATACAAAGTGTAAGCGAGAGTTTTCTTTTCATAGAATTGTTTCTGCGAATTGTGCCCGAAAGTCTTTTTTCGTGTTCGTTGATCTTCCAGTAGATCCTGCAGTAAGCATAGGCCATGAAAGCTAAAGGGAACACAAATGCCAAAGCTGCAAGTACYGTTAAGCGCAGTTTCTCTGCTAGAGACACAGGGAATGAAATTCCACAATGAGCCGTTGTTGGGTTGAAGGAAATGTGCTCCCAGCCAGTAAAAGGACCAAGTGATAACATGGACATAGCACTACAGAATACCCAAACTGCAAGCAGACAAGTCTTGGGTCGCTTCTCCGATATTTTAAAGTGTGTACAAAATCCGGGTTTAACAACAGTGAAAAACTTGTGAATTGTCAACAAAAGYAAGATGAAAATGGACGCACAAAAGAAAAAGTTGTTGAGAAAACCACTGGTCAAACATATCCAATTATCCACAGCAAAGCGTCTTTGAAYACTAATAGCCATCGGAAGCGGTGTGCAAAGAGTCAACGCTCCTATATTCGCAAATGCTAAGTTTAAGATGAATAACAAAGTGGGATTTTTGTTCCTGCTTCCATAGATGATATAGCATACATAGAAATTACCACATAAACCAGAGATGACGATAAACGCCAAGGACACTATTTGGATGATTGACTCTTCCAAGGAGTAAAGCAAAGCATTGTGCGGTACAACTGTTGTCAAATTTGCCGATGTGTTAATGATCATTATTCAAACTTTGCGTAATTTGTCTTCTCGGAGTTCCAGAATCGCCCGTTTTATAGAAGAAAGGAGCCAGAGAAAAATGCGAACGTTGGTCCTCAATTTTTGTACCGCGCTCACTACTAAGGGGATCTCGCTGTACTCTGTGTAATTTAAAGGGGAACGGATTGATTAACAAAGATTTCAATTTCCTTTCAAAGTCGTTAGTTAATCCACGCATTTATCAAGTAATAAATAAAGATGCTGGAGCGCTTAACTCACCTCAAGAAGATCACTAATAACCGTCGTAGGAAACACAAATCAGTCACATAGCATATCAAAACCACTTTTGCACCCGTTCCAGTTAATATAATAAACGCCCTGGTAACGCGTTTTTAATTCAAAATTTACTCATCATTTAATGTCCACCCACATCATATACTAATTGCATGAATCGTAAAATCTCTGATAATATATAACAGAATCATGTTATTGTTCTTTTTAAGTCGCCCAAAGGTAAGTGAGACAAATCTCACTAAGTAAGTTTACATAAAATCTCAACGTCGCGCTTTAAAGCGAGTGTTGAAATACTAATAAAACAATTCTCGATGTTTCTTTTACTTAGATTAATATACGGACATACATTGAAAGGTTTCCGAATCTGATTGTAGACTCTTGTAGACGTCACGTATACGGTAAACTGAATACGTCATAAAAATTAGACCAACTCGTTGCACAAAGAGTACGTATAACATCCTAACTTCAACCTTTGTGTAAACCAAGTCTTGAGATTTTTTTCAAAAGATGTCAAGCCAACTTTCTTCGAAGGACAGCTAGTAGACTCAACTTGTCATACTGCCTGACATGAGTTCTTCATTGGTACTGATTTTTCCTAAAGTTTTTTAGCTGTATCATATCATAGCTATGGTGACAGGAATTAATTAGAAACACAGGTCAGTAACTTTACCAGATTTGGTGTTAAGATTGGATCTTTGTAATTGGTGTCCTATGAACTATATACAGGCGATACAGGCTGAAAAAGCAAAATAATGACAGCTGACAGCTGATTTCTTTCCCGATAGTGAGACTTCAAAAGAATTAATTTATCTTATCTGCAAGAGCTTAGAAACCAAACATTTTCAAGCAATTAAACCAGTTCCATCTTCAAGTTTCAATTACGGTCATGAATCGGACACTGCTGAATGACCAGTGATACTCGTCTATGCTGCAATTCATTAAGTTTTCGTGATATAATGAGTTTCAGGTATTAGCCGTTGCTTAAGGCGAAGTTTGATGATACCAGAAGATAAATGGTACATATGAAGTTTCGTCAGAGGCATATCAAGGACGCCCATCTAAGTTGAGGGACGGACGATTTTCATAGAAATGCAGAAATAGAAATTTTAGCGTGTTCAAAATAAACTATTGTAAGAACAGCGTTGTAAAATATTTACTGAAAATGACTAAACATTTACGTATAAGTGTACATTTATCCTGTACTTTCATCATAGAATATTGTCATTCAAAAATGGGCCTTTGCATTATTTCAGTGGGAGTGTGACCAAAAATATCTAAACTCTGGACCAAAAAACACTTATACGAAAAAAGACGCGGCGAAGTCAAGGAAGATTGAAAATATCCAAATCGCGAAAATAGCAAGATCCTGCCTAAAAGTCACAAGCTTTAATCCTCTCAAATTGTAAATCCATTTTAAATTCAAACCACTTAAATGGAGGCCATTTGTTACCATAGCAAAGAGATAAGTAAGCAAACATGTATTCTTTACTGTTGTGATGTATTTGCTTAATCTCTTGTATTTGTTTTCAAGTAAGATTTACCTATGATCTTATGAATATATTATAAGTTATCATTTTTTTGTCCACAGCGTATTATAACTTTTTTAGTCTTAAATAAAAAGTCGAGCAATAGAAAATGCAACAAATATGCAGGCATAATTGAATATTATTTCGTCCCCACCCCTACGCTATCTTGCGCTATTTATACACATTATACGCGGGAAAAACTACTGTAAGAATAGCCGGAAACATTATATACCTGTATACAGATATATATTTTTAATATAATTATTGAGTACTACCATTGAGCAGGAGAGCCGAACGGAAAAAATATTGCCTCGAGCTCATGTAAGCATACATTGTGGAGATGAATTTTTTGAAACCTATTTCTAATCAGTTCAATAAAGCTAACGATATAAAAGTAAACCATTTTGAGAATAAACGAAATTTAATTTCTAACAATTCAGTGTGGATTGGTTATGCTTCCCGTCAGTACGTCCCGGTCGTGTAAAAGGCTTACAACGTCCAACAACTGTGAATTTTTCCAGTGTTTTTTTTTAAGAGCGTGCGCATGCGGTCGAATCTCAATTAAATAATTTTTTATTTACCGTAGAATTTACTGAAATGCACTTCTTTTCTTTACATTTAATCATTGCATTCCTGTTTTCTCATAAGCTCTGTAGTCCTAACACTCTTTCATAACACTAGATCCTGCTCAGCTCTATCATCGGACACAGTTTTTCCCAGTTACGGGGCATTCAACGTAGAAACAGAACACAGCTTGTTACCATTATATGAAGTAATTCAGAAATAAACTAAAATAAAAGGCAGTTAGACCTCTGACTTCCGCAGCTGCAATTTTGCAAAGTAAAAACAGATATAAGAAATTCGCGTCGTACTGCCAAAAATAGTGCGCCTAAAAGTTGGGCTTCCTGTTGTGTCGGTGGGAGGCGAAAGGCAGGCTGGGAGGATATTGAAAATTTTCCAAAATGGCGGCGAAGTTTGCCCGTTTTCATGAGAAGCGTTCTTATGAAGTAAGTCCTATACTCCTGTTTTAGTTGGTCTTATAAGATAAATGATGTATTGAATGACTTTTCTATGACCTTGTAGACGTCTGCAGATCAGGATATGTTTGATCGCGAGGATGACGAGGAGTTATTGGAGGTCGAGAAAGCAACTTTGGACGTTCCCATTTCAGAGGTAAAGGCCGGGGTAAAGGGACTTGGTTTGAGAAAAAAAAACAAAATATAATATCGATAATCTATGGGACCGAGTTTGCGGAGCATGTTTGCTTTCAAATCCTCTCCCCTCGCTAGTAAGTTAGAGAGCTTGGAATAATTCATGGTTGTTCATTTTATAAGCTCTATAAACTGATGTAAGCTTAATTATTACTACCAGTTATTAAGATACACTTGCATTATGCATTGTAATTATTCCTTGGTAGTACTGCACGGTTTCTGTCATCCACATCCTAGGACAATGTTGGTTATCAACTTATTCTCAAGATGGGATGGAAGTCTGGATCTGGATTAGGAAGAAAGTTGCAAGGTATTTCTTGTCATGAATCAGTAAAGTGAATTCCTATTCATTTTGCTAAGCAATTCCTGAGTAGTTGCTTTGTTTTTCTTTTCAAAAATGAGTTGCAGTTKATTTACCAGGTTTAACATTAACCTATGTTAAGAGATGTTTAGACTGGCTTTGTGCTACTCCTTGAAATCCTTGAAAAGGCCTGGAATCTWTTGAAAACCTGTTTTCAATGGCACTTGAAAYATCTTTGATGGTAGAGAAATTGCTAAAACYCCTGGAAAACCCATCAAATTTGATACAATCAAAATGACRTTTTCAATGTTTTGATTTAATTGATGTCAGAATCCTCCAGAAACACAAAACAAGATATGGCAAAACAGTCCTTGTAAAGGGAATTGACATTTTGTGCTTAAATCATTGACATTTGATATGAAAATGTTGCACAATCCCTAGATTGGAACAGGATATTTACACTGAACTATGTTTCCTCATTCAGGAAGAACAGACCCAATACCAATTGTATTGAAGGAGGACTTTACAGGCATTGGAAAAATGAAAGAAGAGGTATGAATGAATAAGAAGATAATAAAAATCATCTTTAATAATATCAAAGTCTAGTTATATTCTCATTAGCTGTCTCTCCTATAAACAATATCTATAGATGGCTCATGCTGAAGAGAGTACTAGCAAAAGGAAAACCTTAGAGATTGAAAAGGAAGAAACAGAGGAATTAAAGCAGAAATATCTGGTAGGGATGAAGTAATAATAATACATGTGTGATATCAACACATTGATTGACTTCAAAATA